AGTTGCTACCTTCTCTGGTTCCATACAGAAAATCGAATGGCCATCCGAGAAGTATTAGCAACTCTTGAAACTCTGGCAACAAACTAACCAAGACCTTATTGCCAAGAAAATATGGAGGAAAAAGTGGAGATGAACTGGGCACACTCTAAGCAAACCACTCAGTGACGTTATACACCAGATAGATCCACAAGTTGAACCCTAGTGGGAAATAACGAGTTGGGCGTGGGTCTGAGGGTGATATCGTGGAGATCATATGAGGAGGAGATGACAGCTCATGAGCAATCACGGAGCTATCTAAACAGAGCTATAAATAACAGGTTGAATGGAAATACACTGGTGATGCTTTATACTCCACTCAGAACCTGAGGGAATAATAACGGATAGTCATAAGGTATTGACATCACTTTCTGTGTTCCTAAAACTTCATTAATTTGTACTTAATTTGATTAAGTTAGTGAGGAAGTAGTGGTTTTCTCTATAGATAACCTTCGTATCCTTATAGTCACTTGTTCTCATATACTTTATCTCCAGTAAACTATTTACACAAATAAACTAGATTCTGTATTGGACATATAAAACTGCATCTCTGTTACACGTATGCTACTATATGCGGTCTGTTGTATCAGGAATGTTTCGTTTTTACTTGTGACCAGTTCGAGTGGCGCTCATTCAAAATGGTGTGGTTAGGAGTGTCCTTCATCATCAATCTTTACGACATTATTCTAACAAATATTTCCATTGTAGAAAATAGATACTGATGTACACTGATACGTTAGGATAAAAGCCTTTGTGTTGGAAGTAAATGATGAGACTAAAATTACATTTTATATTCTGTCATCTTTGTAGAAATGGAAGATTGTATATTGCTGATGTTAGTGTTCACTAGCTAACTGTATTAGCTGACGGGCCGGCCAACCGCATAAACTATACCTGATTAAGAAATTGAAATGTAAGAATTTAGAAGTCAGCGTTTGTCATGGATGGAAATCATTTAGAGAACCACTGGGCAGATATCTCGTCGCTCCGAACACAGTCTATGAGGTGAGATCCTTGACTATTTATTTCCTGGGCCGGTATCCAAAAGCCTCTGAGTTCTATCTAAACCCAGTCCAATTCGTGCTGTAAAGCACCGCTGCCAGCTAATGTCATAGGATAGCATCTGCTCTTGGTGAGCCTCATTGGTCATAACTTCTCACTAGAATTGCATGACGTCCACCCCTTAGTCATTCATCAATGAGCAGTGGACTCACTTTTGAGTGTAGTTTTGTAAGAATACTGATGTCAATAGTCTTCAAATTGATGTAGGTTCACGATGAGATCTAACATGGGATTAATCAAATCTCTGTAAACTAACACGTGAAAATTTAAAAGCCATTTTAGTGAATTTTACAGAGGAAAATAACAATAAATAAAACTGCTTATCGCTGTGCATTAGCATTGTTGGTTCAGGAGTAGAATCTCTTCCAATCACCCATATGTTCAAGGTGTCATTCCCGATCGATGCACCCTTAAATCTCGCCTAGCAGGAAGAGACAATCAATCAGCCCCACCCAGTAAAAACAATACAAGCGCTATTTAAACTTCAAAGCTTAAATCTCGAAACCTTATTTTCCATACAAAAGGGAAAAGACTGAAGAGAAGGCCCCTTACTATTCACATAAAGAATACTTAGGCAGTAAAAAAAGATACACAATAGAATAGGCATATGGGATTAGTAAGCGAGAGATAAAGCAAGTAATTAAATGCCTTAAAATATTTTGACAGTAATGTATTTTAAAAGTTGAAAGGTGAAGAACATAAAATAAATTTCATGGTATAAAGGAAGGACTATGCAGAGGTGAAATGTTATTATCATTAGAATAACAAATAGTTTACAATTTCCTTAAAGTGAAATAGGTGGATTTCGTGAAACGCTACTAAAAAAAAAGTGGGAAGTAGAACATAAATCTATAAATAAAGTATGTCGTATATATAATTAGAGTGAAACAGAGGGTAAGATAATAATGTGGAATCAGACATTTACTACTGATTATATTTTTCATTTATGTGATTCCTCTGCATCCCCAACGGAACACAGGGTTTCAAGCTATAGATGTTAACCTTCAGAAGTTGTTAACCTCACGTTTAACCTTCCTTCTTTACTGGGCCTACTATCCCCGCTAAGCGTGGTAAAGGAGTACTTTAGCCGGAAATCGAACCCCAGACCACCTGCTTGGTTAGCTGGTGTTCTATCAGTAAGCCACCAATGCAAGTTAGACATTTACGAGGAATAGTTTCTATTCTATAACAATCATTCAATGCAAAATAAAACCGCTTATTGGAGAAAATTTATTCAGATTATGTGTGTTGGCGAACAACCACTCAGTTTCTGCCAATAGTTATTCTTTTTCCCTTCCAAATTGTCTCGGAATGCAGATTTAGCTAGTTGGCTTAAGCACTCGACTTTCAGCCAGTAAACCCTCAGGTTCAAATTTTGCTCTATACCTTCTTCAGCCTGATGTGAGAGAAGAATTCAGGCGCTGTCTCTCATTCCTTCGCATTCCGAATATAAGATACAGCTTCAAGCTTTAGCTCTGAAAATTCAGTAGCAGTCACTAACCTCACATCCAACTTTCCCTTTTCACTTACTTACTTACTAAATGAGTGGTATAAATCAATGCGTCTGTCAGGAATCGAACTTTGGACTCCGTGAGTGAATGACAAGCATTCTATACTAACGAGCCACTGACGCAGTGACGTTTCGAAATGTCATCCAGTCATTTAATACTGTATCACTGTGTGTTATATCAAATAAAATTATCCAATGTAGGATTTCTTCAGCCTAGAAAACCGAGTATTATCATTATTCCTCAGACACTAAGTGTAGCATATAGCCTGGCTCATGAAAGAAATGTTCTTGATAAGTGAATCCTAAAAACAACTAGTCTTGTAACAGATTATGGATGAATTAGAAGAATTAGAGTTAAAACTCTTCAGCTTCATAGTGTCATAATATTTTTCGTCTTTACTAAATCGTAGTTGCCCCTTTGGTTCACCAGTAGAATGCTCACAACCCACCCACGTGGTGGAGATTCACTTTCGGGCGGACAAATTCTTAAACCTAAGAAAAGTCGCTGACACAGTGGTTAGGACTCTCGCCGACCATGCAAATAGTCGAGGTCCGATCCCCTGCCGACCCTGCCACCTGATATCTATGATCAGCCTGCAAAATTTGGGTTACCGATATCACATGCTGGAAATTCCATACTTATACCAAAAACACGGTGGGGAATCAAGCTGTAATCAAAAATCAAATCAAATCAAGTCGGCTGTGAGGCTATCAAACTCATCCAGTAAAAATCAGACAACTCAACCGCTACTGGAACCTCAAAGCCCAGGTTTGAAGCCCATTATCCTACTCGGAATGCAAAAGGATGAAAAAAACTAAATCGAAAAATAGCAAAATATATCCATGAATACATTTCTCTAAGTTTACTTCTCAACCATAAAGATGATAAACAAATATAAATTCAAAAGCAGAGTATGCTTATAGACGTGAAGAAATACTAAAGACAAGGGAATTTCAAAATCGCTACTGAGGATATTCAGAAACACCCTTGCTACTGTAAGACTAAGCTTTTAAATAAACAGACAGTCGGACAAAATCCCCACAGAATCAATACATGAGAACTAATCTGGTGCTCACTAGAGACTGGCCTTATTCAGGCAGTTAGCCTGGGGTTCTAGTGGGAAACTGTGACCAGCAGGATGAAACAGGTTGAAGGTGAGGCAATAATTCATCGAAGAAGACATTGAGAAGTGGTCGCGCTTTGTCATGAATTGATGGCACTAGGAATTCATGGCGTGGCCATTGAGTCCGGTCCCATTGGTGCAATGGTCTACGAGCTCACCTGGTAACCAGAAAGTCCTAGGTTTGAACCTAGGGGGTGCGTATTGTGAAGAGTCCCAAACTGGGACTAAACAGATGGCTGTCAATACTCTCTGTAGGTTTCCCAAACGTCCTCTAACTGATATCAGCGCATGATGAAATCCTCCAACCAATGAACAAATATGTTAGGCCAGGAACAGTACTAAATGAACTTCACAAAACGACTGGTTTTAAACTTGGGCTACCATAAAACCTCCACAATTGTATTCCACATAATCCTCTTGTTCAGTTTGTTTCAATTTATTAAAATATGACCTCTGTTTTCTACTCTCGCGTGTATTTAAAATGTCTGCAATATGGTGATTAGCAAGTTTCTACTAAGTTTAAGAGGAAGCAAAATCATGACAAGGTAACGTATTCGGATAGAATGGGACAATTGTTCCTGAGATTTTTAGTACAAACTAACATTGACTAAGAAATAAAACTAACTACATGCAGTCATCAATTAATGAGCAATTATTAATGTGCCCTGGGTCTCAAAATATACTTCTGCATCTTTTTTAAATCACTTTCGACCAAAGTCACGCATTTCTTCGAGAAGTAGACAAAGAAGGAATATCATAGGAGGTGGTGTGCGCTTCACGTTGGACAGCGTTGTGTCAACTACTATTTTCATAGAAGATCCTGGACAAAGAGAAACCATTATTCAAGTATTGATTTGTATGGATTTGATTGGTTGGTTATAGGATTTCATCATGAGCTGATGTCGGTTAGAGAACCACTGGAAAATTTGGGATTACTGCACAGCTGTTTCGTCCTAATTCGGGACTCTCCACCAGCACGCACCCTACAGGGTATGGTACATATGGTTTTATGCTACAAATAAACTGGTATATATTCAGAACAACAACAACCATAGATGTCCCTGATCGTCCTTGCAATATAGTAAAGATCCGAATGATATGGAATGATGATCATTCTATCCTTAACCTCATAGTAATCAGTGTCAACTGTGAATCACCTGTGGCGCACCCGATAGTCACCTCCTGTTATGTTGAAAAAAAATTGACAAACACTCAAAAGTTGCAGTTATGCATGAATGATTCATCAAATTATCGATAATATTACTCACCCCCAACAATTACTTTTACTGTCATATTAATTTGAGCATTTTTATACGTTGATTTAGCAATACAAACATATTCACCGGCATCATGTTTTTGAACATACTGAATAATAAGTGTACCACCTTCAACTTGATTAGGTGGACGAATCCTCTGCAAATCATTTGAATGAGAACCAGTTTTACGAAACCATTCAACAGTTACTGTACCATAACCTCTGGCCTTACATGGAATTCTACCTTGTACATTTATTTCCAAAAAGTGTTCACGTATTTCTCGAAGAAATTGTAGTTTTGCTGGAAAAGAAAACAAGTGAATACTCGTTTTTTAAAGAAGATTTTTAACAAAAAGCAGATAAGATACTTGCATAATTAGTTAATTTTAAACAAGACAACAGGTTGGTATCAGTGAGAGAACCACAGAAAGTTGTTTCTTCCTGTACGCACCCACGATCCCAGTGATTTTCTGTGATCCTCTGACTGTCTGTTACCAATCCGTGATCTAACAATTCAAAGGTGATACACTAAGAGAAATAATAATCAACACGTTGAGAAAATCGATTGAAAGGACGCTTAATACCGGTAATCTGCAGCTTATATTTTCCACACAACCGGTTGTGATTTGGAAATTGAAAGACGAAGTACCTCGGATAGCCACCTATTCTTATTGTATTTATCAATTTACTAACTCCTGTAGAGTCGGTTACATTGATTATCGGTTTAGAAACCTAACTTTTCGTCCTCCGCAACACCTATCAGTGTGTGTGGTTAAATAAAGGTGTTGTTCAAACCATCAATAGTTTGTTATTAAATCAACTCGTCCAACTGGGCCTGAATTCCACTCTTGGTTAGCACTATTCAATTTTACATTTGAAGTCATTCAACGCTAACACATACACAGAACAATATTATTTAAGTTAGATGAAATATATGAGTGAATTAAATTAATTAACATACCGATTTTTTTTAAATGCTCTAGGAACTTGATTTTTCGTGCTCGAGAACATCTCCCACTATGGTTAAGTAAGGGTGTAGTGAAAACTATTAACAGCTCGATATTGGAACATCTGGTGCAAACCGGCCACAAAGCCAGCGTAGAAGAATCCTTCTCTATATTATACCGGGTGCCAAATGAATTGCCAAAAACATCGAAGCACCGCAGGCTCCAAACAGCAGAGGCTATTGCGATTCGCCTCAAACAACCAGTGATCTGTGTCCAAAAGAAGCAAGTCCAGCCCCTACTACTGACCTGGCCTTCAGTAGAAAATATAAACTCATGAATTTGTACTATTATCTTCCCTAATTCTTCTGACATTCAGCTTATTTTATGTTGATGCTATTGAGCTGTAATCTATGAATATTATTTGATTCGATGTTATTTAAACAACATTAATGTTGTCCATAACACTAATTCATTCACTATAATGTATATATAACTGTAGTTCCTGATGATGAAGTTATCGAAAAGAGTACTCTTTGTTGAGTATCAATTCTTTTGAAAATTTTAATGGGCATTTTTAATCAGTTAAAAGACAAAAATTGAACAACCCATAGACGCTTTACTAACCTTTTACAATTAAAGTTTGTTCACGACCAGCCCATCGTTCTTTATATCCATCAGTTTGTACAAAACATTGATATTGGCCTTGATCTTCAGGTTTCAATTCAGGAAATCTTAAAGTCTCTCCGTTGTTCTCCCAAACCATAAGCTATATACATACGAAACATTTGGTTAATAAAGAGCAAAACAAGTTATCATGACAATAAATAAGCCAAATGAAAGAAAAAAATGAAGTGGTGCCAGAGAATTCCATTTAAACCAAGCAGAATTGGTAACGAATAAAAACACAAATTCCTACTTAACTCAGTTCTAGTAAGAAGTCATGACCAACCAGTGGGTTCAACTAGGTCGGCAGTAAGGATATATACTCACCGATGATAACGGTTGGTGGTCGCGCTAAAATCACGAATTGGCAGAAGTTAGAATTCATGGGTTGGTCATTGAGTCGGGTCCCAGTGGCTGAATGGTCTATGAGTTTGCTCGCCTTGTAGCCGGGTTCGTGCCCCAGTGGGTGAGTACTGCCAATGTGCCCCAAACTAAGACGAAGCAGCAAGCCTCCAGTACTCACACCTAGTTTTCCAATAGTTCTCCAAATGATACCAATCTGTGGTCAAACCTGAGACAAATCCAATCCCGACAAACTAACTTCTGAAAAATAACTCACCAACTGTTCACAAATCCATATAAGTATGTACAAAGTAAAATTAAGCACCTAAAGATTAAAATAATATACCATATTGTGTATTTAAAACACAAGCTTTGGTAATTCGTGGGTAGTTTCTTAAAACTTTCCTTGAAACTTCATCTCCTATCATGTGAATTTCCTGTTTATTTGAAGTGCCAGTGTACTTGTAATTGGTATGAAATCAATCATTGACTTTCAGAAGTTAAATCTCATCGCGATTTAAGTCTCCGTCTTGAAATCAACTATTATCTCATTATATTTGTGATACTGAGTGAGGCAAGGTCCTCCAGAAAACTTTGTGAACTTCTTCGAATCACCTTTTACAGACACACACACAGAGAAAGATAGTCCACTGAATAGTTTTAGCAATGAAGCTATTTCCCCAAATACAGTAGATAATAATGAGGAATAAATGACTGCTACATTTACGGGTGTAGCCATTGTCATGCGTCCAGTCCTTGGTGCAGGTGCACATTGACTTCTATCAGTTAGGCTGTTAGCATGCTCACCAAGGACTAGACGTGTCACTTTGAACACATCCTAGTGACTAATCAATGTATCTTTTACAGTCTTACTGGAGGTCAGTCGTGAGACACAATAAATCACTCAAAATTTCTCTGATTACAGCACTGGGTGACATGGGTTTGAATATCAGATAGGGCATGAACTCTTTCAAGATTGCATATATACCTTGCTGACGAGTCCCAACAAGCACGGAACCTAGGCAAAGTAGGGCTTCCTCCTGATCGCTTCCAACCACCTAACAAATGACTGTTACGCTACCCTTCATCGTGAAATAATTGTATTAAACAAGCCATTATAGAATAATAAAACTGCTATAAATACTTACACTATTAGCGTATTTCTCTAAGACTCGTTGATCTTTTTCCCAGTAGACAATACTTCCGGGAATTGAACGTTTCTTAATACCACAGTCTAGTGTAATTGAACTATCTTCATCCAGTGCGTGCTCTTCATGAGTCAACGGTTGATAAAATTCTGGTGGAACTAAAGTGAAAAGAACAAAGGTAGAAAAAACTGTGATATACAAAATATTCGGAAATAAACACAACGATTTAGATGGCTAGGACATGTGTTACACACACCAGACAACTGTCTTCCTCATCCAGCAATGTTAGCTGATATATACGATTAAGTTCAAGAACAGTTAGTAGTGGTTAGATAGAAACATGCAATCAATCGACAAAGTATTTGACTGCGGATGATGGCTCTTATATTAAATTTCATCTAGTGAAAAATAAACACGTGTGGTAAGTGACTGCTGAAATGACTCCTATAGCTATAACCATCACCATAATTAAATAAGAATAATATGTTCTTCTTGTTTATTAGACTTTCATTCATGTCATAATTAGTGACAAGTTGTCAAAAACAGGAACACTCCATAAGCTCTAATTTCTTCAATTTTTTTCAGCTAGTTGATATATATACATATATCCTTAGACCAATATACTAGTAAGGGCAAACCCAAAGAATAGCGAGCATGGAGTGCTAACGCACCAATGACCCTGAACGCTTAACATCCGTTGGATTAAAGTCTAGCATTATTACAACGCAATTCACTTTGTATTTGGGACACGTCAGCTGGATGCAAGTACCTACTGTCCGAAGTGAGTGACGCTGTTCCCATTGAGATTCGACCCCAATACCCTTCATTTCAAACACTAGACGTTTATCCAATAGATCAAACAGGTCACAGAGCCACCTCTTACTCAACAAGTGTCACTTTTTATGTGTTTAAATTAATTTTGTACTTCCAAGTTGACTGATTATCATACTGAACTAAAATACTTGGTCTCTGCTGAAATGTCGGCCCCTAGTTGAAGCACTTCGACAACATCTGAAAACGAAAATGATGTTATTATTTGGTGCACAGTGAAATCATTTTAATCCACAGATATCGTTGAAGTGTTCATACTAGAAGTCAACATGTCAAGAAAAACTGAATATTCCAGTCTAATGTAATCAATCAACTGGAAATACAAAATTAACTCAAACAAATAAGGACTCAAATATCATTCATATTTAAAGAGATTTTCAGCGGAACTTTCAAATTTTCGCGGGAAATCTTAAGTATATACGTAATTTTAAAATGTAGGAGAGTTCCACTTTGATTCTTGTCTATTCCTACACGTTCCTTCAACTATGAACGAAATATTCCCATATTGAGGCATAAAAAAAGGCACAAACAGCGAAGAAAATTTTCTTTTCGACGATTTATTTTCACGAGCTGTACAATCGTAGTTATATTTAACGAAGAAATGTTTAGACATCGAACACCCCCACATGAATGCTTCACAGTGATACACAGAGTCCCTTAATATCGTACAAAAGGACTTCGGATTCGCCATCTGTACATAGCTGAAGCATTAGCTATTCGAGATCTGAAACCGAACCTCTGCATTCAAAAGCGATACATACATTCTCTCGCCCTACCATGGTCAGAGTAAAGTTCTTACTACAATTTTGCTTCTATCCTTCATAATGTAGGTTACCTATTATTATTATTATCATCACTATTATTATTAATACTTTTATCATCATTATTATTCCTATCATCCACATTTTATTACCACTCTATTACTGTTTAATAATAACATTGCTTTTTCATATAGATTTTATACAAAAAACACTTTATCACCTTTCCACTAGTTCCTGTCCATTCTACACGAGCTTACTGACTAGTCATTATCTCACACTTATTACGTCAAGCCAACTTCTATCTCTTTTCTAACTTACAATTAGTCATCCCTTTTTACACCTGACATTATGTAATACAATTTTTCAAAGACAGAGTTTACCAGTATCTGATTAGTCTAAGCGTTTCTTTGTTAAATATAACTATGATTGTACAGCTCATGAAAATGAATCGTCGAAAAGAAAATTTTCTTCGCTGTTTGTGCCTTTCCTTCAACTAATCAATAATATGAATATAGCACGAACAACAGTTTTTGCAGAATAATTTGGTACCATAATTTATTTCATTTCGTTGACTTCTCATCAGCTGATGCTTAAATCCTAAAGAAATTATTACTATTAATAAGTTCATGTACAGAAAAGGTCTAACATATTTGTAACTTTTAAATGTTGTCAGTTGACAGGAATTTCCGAACTTAGTGAACAATGCTCAGAAAATTACGCCTATATAGCTTTTACAAAGGGAGTTCGAGTTTAAACAAAATGAATGTATGCATAAAATGGTAGAGGAGTTACGTAATAAAGACGAGAGCCACAACCTACCCTGCAGCTAAGTTAGTTCCCATCTATCGGATAACATGCTTTTTGATGTAATCAAAAGTTTACAGCTACCCTTCTCATGCTGTTCCAACTGTGTATACAAATTTACTTGTATCTGAAGGAACAGTTGCATTGCGAGATCAGAAAGAAGGGAACACCTCCAATTTTCTGAACATATACCAAAAAGTCTCAAGAAAACAAAAGTTTACAATAGTGCTACTATCACAGAACATGAGATGGTAATTGCGAAATCCTGTAAAATTATCAATAGACAAAAAAGCTCAGTTCTCCTCAAGTTTACGAAGCAATCCTTATAAAATGCCTGACACTCGACTAATGTGTTCAGAAAGAAGCAGTTATCAGTATTTCCCCGCCCCACCTTGGTAACTGGATATCTTTATTATCAGTTTCATTTGATTCCGTAATCTTTGGTTTTAACCTCACCACCCTTTGATATAGCTTAATTTTGCTTGTCTCTTCTTTCTTGGATTTTAGTTGGACTCATTACACTGTCACCCAACTCACTGGTCACTCATCATCTTACGCACCTCTCGTCTCCTTTACCATTGTATGTATACATTCACTTTGTTTAAACATGAACTCACCGTGTAAGAACTATATGCGCGTAATTTTCTGAGAATTGTTTACAAAGTCCGGAACATCGTGTCAACTGACATCATGTAAAATATGCAAAAATGTTAAAACTTTTCTGTACATGAACTTAATAATAGTAATAACTTATTTAGGTTGTAAACAGCAGCTGATGAGAAGCCAACGAAATGAAATAAATGATAATACCATATCGTTCTGCACAAATCACTGGTGTTCTTGCTCTATTCAAATTCATAAAGGGGAATAAATGTATGAAGTTTCTGAATAATCAATAATAGTGTTGTTCGTGACGACAATGATAAATTATGTAACAATTTGGGAATCAAATTAATCAGTGAAGTTTAAACATTAAAAACATCCATTCAATAGTGTGTGTGTGTGTTTGTATGTAAATACATGCAATGAATAAAAGACGAAATACGTAAGTATTTAAACAGATATGTTGCTTTTGTATTAGTCAGGTTTTTTACCTATTCCCTTTGTTCATATTTATTCATACGTGCTTACTTTACAACATAAACTGATGCCAGAATTCCTTGAAGAGAATGTACACATTATTATTATTATCATTATTATTAATTCCTTCACGTTCCCAGTGGAACACAAGGGCTCAAGCTAGAGACTTGAAGTTTCTGTAGCAGTGTTTATTTTTACAAGATGGGGTTATTATTATTATATCCTTTAATTCCTAGAGGAACAGAGGACTTCAGCCGCCCAAGTCTCCATTGCGTTCGGTTTTCTGCCAACTTTTTCACCCCGCTCCAAGTCTGCCCACGTGCTTTCATCTCCTCTTCACATGACCTCCTCCAAGTCACCTTGCACTGACGACCAACTCGCCGCTTCCCTTTCGGGTTCCACTCGGGCGATGGCTTTTCTAGTGATGTCACTTGGTGGTTTGTCTTCTCAGAGTATGGCCAATCCATCTCCATTTCTTCCTGCCTATTTGTTTCACAACCGGTTCCTGGTTGGTTCGCTCACTGTCAGAGATCCCTGTTGCTGACCTTTTCTAGCCGGTCACCTGATCTTGAGTATTGAGCGAAGACAACTGTTAATGAAGGTCTGTAGTTTGTTTGAGATGCTCCTCATGACGCGCAGTGCAAGTCTCTGATCCGTATAGTAGCACTGAGTGACTTCACATTGGAGTTGAAAATCCGGATCTTATTTTTTATGCTTAGTGCTGTTGATTACACAGACTTAAAAGAAATGAAAATGCTTTTCCGATTCTTGCTTTGGTATCCTCATCAGTTCTGCTTGTAGTTGAAACGATGCTTCCCAGGCAGGTAGGTAAAGGAGGTTGTTTCTTTCAGGTTCCACCCATTTATGCAGGCTGATTGTTGTCTATTGTTGTTGCTGCTATTGCTGTCGGCCGCGAATCTTCATCACCTCTGTTTTCTCTATGTTCACCTGAAGTCCTTCCTGTCTTTGATGCTTCTTCTGCCAGCTTGTTTCTTTTCACTTGCATATCTTCCAGTTTGTGGGAAATCAGACATATATCATCGGCGAAGTCCAGATACTCCAAGTTTTTTGTGTGAGTCTATTTTATGCCTGTCTCCTCATTGCCTGTTGTCTGCCGCATTATCCAACAGATGGGGTTGCTTGCCTCATACCCAACCTTTTGCTCTTTACCAGCTTTATTTCTGGCTTAACGAGGTAAAGGAGTGCGTCGACAGGGGATTGAACCCTGGACCGTGCCTATGGTCGGCGAGCGTCATAACCGCTGCGCCACCAGCCACATATGTTGTATATGACTATCAGTTTATCTAAGCAAATAATATACTGCAACTTTCACTCCAAAGTTAGTCAACAAAATCCCACATAAAGTCGTCATCATCAAATTTGTTTTTACAAGAACTCAAGAGCTCTCTCTCTGTGTAGTCGATTGCTTTATTCTACATATACAAATAGATTTGAAATTTAAACTTGTCTTGTGTCAAAGAATATTCTTTTATGTACGAAACTGATAGAAAATGATGACTGACGGGCAATGATATGGCATTGGCAAAATACCCTCCAAGTTTGAATGAGTGATACTTTGACACAAGTAGGGGAAAAAAATGAAAAACTCCTAATGCAATAGGCTGCGCACATATAATAACATAAAATCATGAAAATGAGGATTTCATATGTTTGACATTGAAGCCTAAAGTCTAGATTAGATTATGAAATGACATTTAGTGTCATAGAATAACAAGAACTCCAAAGCCGCTCTGATAAATAAATACCTCATAAAAAAATTTACGAATTTTCTAATTTAATGTCAAATATTTAAATAATAATATTTATGTCATAAAGTGAACATAGAAACGGTATCATAAGCGTCGTTGTTAGGACTGTGTCATAAACCCCCTTTGATTGACGATATTCGAAGGCATTTAAACCTGTAGGATTGTGAATGAACTACCATTCAGATAGACTTATTCTAACGTATTCTCAATCAGTGTAGAGATATGACTTATACCGTTAGACAAAAAAATGATTTTTGACTCAAATAATATTCTGTTTTGATTTATTTTTGATGGAGTACCTATATATGTTGAAAATGCATATTTCGACTATTAGTGTAACGTTGGAAGAGGTAAGAGTCTGTAAAGGAATGTTTATATACAATTCGGTATCTCTGTATAGCTAAATTATGTACACCTTATCCTCAACGCACCATTTGCACAGAACTTACGTGTTGTGCGACTTCTGTCCTTCCCTCTTACTGAGTTTCTGTGTGCTCCTTTCACATCTCCCATGTATCCTCACAATGCTGCTTCATTTGCTTTCTCTGACATCAATTTTTTATTAGTTTTATTCCAAGGAAGATTTCTTTATGCATATACTACTTATAAATATTATCAGTAACACAACACACTACCAAGTGAATACTATCCAGCGTCTTACCAAAAACTGTAATTACAACTGAATTTACTTTTACGGTTCAAGGTTTTGTTAGTATTGTCATTCAAAAGTATGACAAGAATTGCTCTGCTATTGATGACGGTATAAATCAGGATAGAAGGATGGTGTTTAAGAGAAACCACACAATAAGAGGTCCAAAATGAAGTGAACAACATCTCTCCATTGCAATGTGTATTACTTATAGCAAAAGATACAAGTAGTATGTTTCTATGATTTCCTTTGATTAACCAATGACAAGGGACATTAGACTAAAATATCGAAGGGTGTCGAAGAAACGACAACAAAGGAAGAAATAACACACTCAGCGAAGAAATACATTTCTTTTCAATTCGTTCTTCATCAACAGTTCTACACTATTATAGATAATAATGTAAAGCCATTAAGGAGTAACAAATTGAAAAGAAATGCAGGAAAATCAAGGAGTATCGGACAGATGTTTCGTTCTCCTTTGTTACTCTTCATCAATAGCCTGGACATATAAACTAAAGGTATTTAGTTCAATCATCGGTGGGGTCGTGGATAAATAGTGCTGGAGAGTCCCACCTAGACTAAGACGAAAAAAGCGGTCCAGCACTCTTTGGTAGTTTTCCAATCGTTCTCTAACTGATGTCACCTCGTCATCCAACTTGTAACCAATAAAACTCCTGCAAACCAACACTTGGAAAAGAAAATATATATTTCATCACTCAATTTCTTGTTGGTTTTTTTCTAAATGTGTAAACTGGAATAGAAGTGTGAGGCAAATAAACAGTAATATGGAAGAAAAATAGAATTCTATTCGATATGATAAATCACAAGGAGTGAATGCATCTGCACCAATGGGAACGATTTTCAACCATAACACCTATTGTCTCCAGCCATTGCTCTTTACCATTCCGAGGACCCCGACCAGGAAATCTATACCTTCCTGTATGGCTTAAATGAACTGTTGTGGATTTCATTGACTGATGCTATGTTTTGGTTTGACCGGCATCAGTTCTTTTCCAACCTAGTCCTTTGTCAGCTAACATTTCCCATCGAGGAAGGCGATGGCTAGGCATACGCAACACATGTCCTAACTATCTCAATCGGTGTAACTTCACAACCTCGTCGATTGACTTTCCCTGTTTACCTAGCACTCTCAAATGATGCCTAACCTCAATATTGCTCACCCTACTATACCACTCAACACGGGAGATAAAATGCCGATACCTATGTCAAAGACAGCTTACTTTTTTGTATCATCCACTGTCATTCGTCACGTCTCAGTCACAACCATAAAGGAGGACGGGGGGAACTGCTGAGTATTGCACGTCTACTAAGCCAGAGATGACGTAAGTTGACTAACAAATGATAAACGAGCCTTCTGTATCCGTGCTGAGTTTTCGTCAGCAACCAACTCACTAGCACTGGCTTATACAACTCCCCAAATAAGTGAAGTAGTCACTGCTCCCTGATTTTCAATTATCTTTAACTGATATTGGATTCGTAATAAAATCCAACAATTTATTATCTAAAAATTTATCATCCAGTGGCTAATCTTAAACCTGAATTTCGACTACTAACTACTACTAGTCATGATATATTTGTATAAGTAATATAATTATTAAAAAAACTAATCATTTTAATCGCTAACTGACTAACATCAAACCAAATGACAACCAACCAACCAACCAATACATAAATTATTAAATACACTATACTTGGAAAAAACAACTGAAGCTTATCAGCTAACTCCCGATACATTGACAGACAAAGGGGGAATAAGGCACTATAACAACTACAACTGCAACAACGATAACGACGACAACAACAGGAACAAGAACAAAGACGACTCTTATGTAGATAGATACAGAATCAAATCGCTTATGATGAGAGGGAGAGGTAGAGAGAGATCAAAGTACATTTTAATTTAAGTGCTTTTTGATGTCTTTTTTGTTTCTCTACAAAAACAACAACGACAACAGCATAACTTTTATCAAGTTAACTTTGAAATTCATATCACACTACAAATCACAGCTGTATATAGAGGATCAAAACCTTTCAACCACCACCACCACCAGCCTCTTCCCTCCCTCCCTCCAAAATAAACAACAAAATAACAATTTTATCAGCATTGAAATTGAAAATGACATCAAGTTATAAGAAGTAGTGCCACCGAAATGCATAGACTATGTGTCGGTGCGTGCATAGAAAACAGGTGTGTGTATGTGTTCCAGCGTATGACGTTATTTTTTCTACGACCTACCCTGCGCCCCCCTCCGGCACTCTGACTCTCAGTATATTAAAAACGGAGTTTTCTCTTTGAACACACCCATACATACACACACACGTCTACACATAAAAAGGGCATAACATTTGATTATTTAACTTACAATTGACTAAAATATCAAATACGATAGAAGCTCGACCAGCTGGGTTGATCAGCGTCATTTCATAGGATCCAGAATCTAATTCTGTAACAGAATGAATTACTAAATGTCGTCCGCGTAAAGCATAAATTCTCGGAGGCGGACCGTGTAACTTCGATTCTTCTATACGTGATGACGGAGACGTTGATGATGATAGCACTGGAGGCCATACAGGAATTGCCTGATGTTCATCCTTTTTATGCCATCTATAGATCATTGTTACAGAAACAAAAGAAATAGTAAATATTTTTTATGCATTATGTTATTATCAAAGCGATGAACATTCCTTTCCATTCGGGGTAGAACATGAAGATTCATTCATGCTTGAGCTTTGAGGTTTCACAAGCGATGATTTTGTTTGTACGGGATGGAACTGCTAGCTTAATGCTCCATTTTGCCTCTAACAGTGGGTTTTGGCTAGGGATAGAATCCCTAACCCCGCAGGTGTAGCTGACAATCTTACTACCGTTCAAACAATCATCAATCATATTGTAAATCTGTAGAATTTAGACAGTGTAGTAAGACATAATCGTACACTTCGCCTGATACACCACTCTCTGATATATAACATTTGTTAAAACACAGCGTCTTGAGCATAGTTTCCTCCTAAATAATAATAATATTAGTATATTACACATAGAGAGGTCTCCAAAAGAGGAATAGCGTTCCTACAAGCGATTTGAAGGTAAATAAGTTTATGCTTATCGATACAAACAGATAAATTTTGGTAGTCAACGGTTGGCATCAGTGGAGGGAGGTGTGGAAGAGTACCAACAACTTTTTCACGATTCTTTCATAACTTCTCAACAAAAAAACCAAACAAAGGTTTAAAAGTGATTTAAGTGGACCGTCATTTTAGTAGCATTATGTCCAATGGAGTTTTTAACACAACATGGGGTGTGTCAGTAATGTTTCACAGTTCATTGTTATTTAAAATGACTGCGATTCATAAGCTATAGAAGCCTAGATCAGTTAACTTACCAACATCAGAAAAGTTTAAAGGTCACTTCTATGTTCTAATCAATACTTCACTTCAAGTTAAAACGAAAGTTTTTGAGGGAAGGGTAATATGTACTATGATGTAATCTATTTCCACAAACTCAACTAAATTTTCCGTCATCTTTCCATCGTTTAGAAAACATAGAACAGCACAAATTTCTATGAAGCTATGATTACAAATTTAAAAGGTGTAAAATGCAATGTTAGGAGGCCTTTTAGTGGTGCTATCGACTGTTCGAGTTGCATTTGTATTGGATGAGTATGCTGTCTTCTCCTTTCTTACGTTATTCCTACAGCGGCCTTTTTAATCACATTATAAACTATCAGCGTGCGTCAGTGGCACAGCGGTGGAATGCTCGCCAACCACTCATGTGTTTCGGGATTCAATCCTCAACTGACGCTCTCCTTTACCTCGCTAAGCCAATAATAAGACTGGTAAAGAAGGAAAGCTGGGCATGAGGAGGCTAGCAACCCCATCCCGTAAAAATAAACACCACTGTTACCGAAACTTCAAGCCTCTAGCTTGAGCCCCTATGTTCCACTGCGGACGTAAAAGAACAAAAAAAAGTAATAAACTATCAGCGGTAGCTTAAAAGACGTTTTACTTTATTCTATACATATCTTTTGTTTTCAGTAATTCCCTCGAGTATACATTATGGGCTCAGAAGTGATGATTATGAGTTCTGTAAAAATGTTGATGACATTAATAGGACATTTTCAATGACAACCTATTTAGGATTTTTAAACCCTGAATCTTCATTCCTTAGTCAGTGATTCAGGGGTAGAATAACTACCAGTCAACCACGCATATGATCTGGCTTCAATTACCCGCCAACTAATTCTTAAACCACGCCTAGTGGGTAGTCAGCCCAGCAGACAGATAGAGAGAGGGGAGGTTGGGTGTGAGGTCAACCTCCTTATCTCAGGGAAAAGAAACAGTCTCGATTCCATTGAAGTAAAACAGTTCTACCTCTCCCTATGATCACATTTCATCGATACAGACAACTTAAACAACAATATTTAATTATCAAGTGTTTGGTTTGCAGTAATTCGATTGGTTACAGGTTTGATAACTAGCTGATATTAATTAGAGAACCATTGGCAAATCAGGGAGAAGTGGACTGGAGTGTCTGTTCCCTCCTAGTTAAGGATTCTTCATCAATACTTATCCAACGGCGTCTTACCCGGAGGATCTTCCTGTCACAAAACAATCTCGTACACCCGATCCAATGGTCTATGAATTCCAGGTTTTACCAATTCGCGAATTTTATATATATATCGCATAACCGTCAGGCAAAGTTATAGGCAAGTGACTATTTGTTCTCTTATCTGACTTAGTGGATACCACAGGTGGTTTTCCAACGGTTCGCTAACCGATGTCACTGCTCGTAATGACTGAACAGTGTAAACAATTTTTAAGCTAACGATTGTTTCATGTATCTAATGGTGAAATTTTGCATAAAATTGTTGTGCTGACCTATACAACCAGCCCTACAGAGGACAAAGTGTCCTTTGGCAATAAAGACAAAATATGATAATTAATCTTCTAACAGTCAGTCAGGTGAACTGACCGTCTGTCTGCTGATATAATTTTTAAAAAAAAAGTTAAGCCCACCACCACTAAGACAATTTTGCATGTGTAATAAACTAAAAGTGTACTTGTCTGATTGTCTGTGTGTGTGTGCCTGTGTGAATGTGCTTGTATTGTTCTAATGCCTGACCAGTGACGTTTACACCTAAAGGAAGACCTAGTAGTCTTTATTGTCGTGTTTGTTTGTTTCTTTCTTCGTTCTATCGTTTTTTTCTTTTCACCTTGTCTCTATTCGATTTCAATGAAACATAGATACGTTCTAACGAGAACAGAGCTCCAGTTATAAAGCCTATAATCTAATATTGTGATGAAGTAAATCAAAATGGAAAACAATGGACACATAATTAAGAAAGAAATATTGAATGAATGAATTCTTTTATTTATTTTTGATTACAGCCTGATTCCACACTGTACTTTTGGCACAAGTATGGAATTTTCAGCATGGATATCGGTAGCCCAAAATTCTCAGGCCGACCATAGATATCAGGTGTGCATCGGTGTGGGCTCGAACCCCGAACCATGTGGATGGTCGGCGAGAGTCCTAACCGCTGTGCCACCGACGCACATACATAGTAAATACATAATATGTAATAAAGACGATTTCTCTCAATAATATTAATAATAATAGTCTCATAGATGGCTCTGACAGATGGATACACTAGTTGATAAATATAATTATAGGTTATGTCTGTAAGTCAATTTGTCTCTTTCTCTCTCTATGTGCGTGTATGTGTGAGTGTGTGTGTGTGTGTTTGAATAGATGTTTAACCCACTACTATCTAAATTTATAATTTGTTACAATTAAGTATCGAATATTATGGAACAATTGTGTACTGAATCATCGAATGAAGTTCCTTGGATGATTGGTGTTGCTTATTGTATCGTTTTGCCTCCCTTTTTTTCACATGATTATGGGTCATTCATGTTTTGTTTTCTTTTTTTTTTAATTTATTATTTGAAAGACACTTGGATAAAAAGACTAGTTGCTTGGATAAGAGAGTGAACATTTAAACATGTTCACCTACATACACACTTACAAACAGATATATATATATATATACGTGGTTAAAGTAATAATTTGAGTTGAATTCACTTCCATCATTTGGGCTTTTTTATTATAATAACTAAGCGACTTCGAAACAATGTAAGAAGAAAAACGTCTTCTTTTCGGCTTATGTTGAGTTGAGTTGAGTTGAATAAAGGGGATTATAAGAGGATAAAAGAAAAGAAAAGAAAAACTGCTAGCGAATTGTTAATCAAATACTAAAACTGTGGTTAACTATAAAGTTGTCACCACTGGGGTGTTTCATGTGCTCAGGATTGAGCACAGACGCTCGTCGATAAGACTGGTCGGTGGTCGAGCTAAAATCACGCATTGGTAGAAGTTAGAATTCATCAGCGAGTAGATGGGATTTCCAGTAGCTGAATAGTCTACGTACCTTGTCTTGCAACCTGAAGGTTGTGAGTTTAAAACTATGTGCTGGGTAGGTGGATACTGTCGATGAGTTCCAAACTAGAACGAAACAAGTGTCGTTACTCTCACCTGGTTTTCACTGTTTCACTAACTGATATCAATCGTTGGTCAGACTTCAAGCAAATCAGATCCCTGTAAACCAACTCCTGAAAATTATGAATTACACATTAACTACAGTAGAGTAAATTCAATGTCTGTGAACGCTTCAAGCTATCGATGAGTTATCTATTTGCTTTTCCATATGGTAGTTATCCATCGAGATCCACCCACCAATCGAAGCCACACTAAAACTGACAAAAGTTAGAATTTATGGGTCATTGACTTCTAATCGCATTGAGTGGATGAATAGTTAATGAGCTTGTTATGTAACTCAATGGTTCTAGGTTCCATCCTTGATGAGATAAATTTGTCCTGTGATGCTGAAGATTTATAAATTAGGTCGAAACAAATATTATCCAGTGTACACCTTGGTTTTCAAAACACTATTTTGATCTATTTGAAGTACGTAAGATAGAAGATGCACCAGCAAGAGGTGTAATATTTGTCTTATGGATTTATTTCTGTAACTGATTCTTAGCTGTTAGACTGCCTAGGCACCCAATTGTTATTCATCAACCGTAATACATGGCTTTCTATTTTCTACTACAATCATCTATTTTTGTAATTAGTTGTGTTCGCTGAACCGGTTGGTTTAATTGCAGAGCTTTTGTCTACCTGAGCTACAAATATTCTCTATTATTCATCTATTTTATTACGAGTAACATAGTTTAAAATATTTGCTAAAGTCTGAAGGGAAGCTGGCAAACCCACTCCATAGAAAAGAAACACCAAAGCTAATGAGACTTCAAATTCTGAAGCTCTACATTCTAGGCGGAACGCAAACAAATGAGAGAAAGAAAAACAACAAGTAATACAGCGGAATAAAATGGAATCAGTAACCTGATACATGAACTTAAGGAGCAAAAGGTACATTACATTCGTTTAACAAAATGATAATTTGTTATAATTCCCGTCTTTATCATCACCAGACTATTTCGAATTGTTAATAATCTATAGAATTAGCTGTATATTATTTAATTTAATTCAATTTAGATTTTCCCGTCGATCGATTGGACCAAAGTGCTTGGTCTTAGGTTGACATGTCGGCTCCTTGTGGAGATGCTTCGATAATGTATGGTCATGTAACCTGAAGTCAATTAGTGGATGGTGGACTAGCAGCAGAATCCAGGATGCCTCTCCAGGAATACCTTAATTGAATTAAATAATGAATAAGACCCGTTGCACAAGAGGTGACTCTGGTAGCCCAAGTGGTTTAGTGGATAACGTTTTGGCGTTTGAGGCCATGGGTACTGGATTCGAGCGTTGGTGAGAGCACCATCACTCACTGGGGAATGCAGATACATCCAGCCAACCAACGAGTCCAAACAGGACAAAATGCGCATCTGGATTCCCTGTTAGTCACCGTACACCAATAGACTTCAAGAATTAACTGTACTTTGTAATTATTTTACTTTTATGTGTTTGGCTGTTTTACTTACGTGATTTTAGGTGTTGGATTTGAGATCTGATCAGTAATGAAAGAATTCGATGGTGATTCATCTGAATAATACCGTAGATTGGCATCTTCATTTATCCGTACAACATAAGGCTGATTCTTTTTTAAACGAGGTGAGAAATCTGTTCGTTTTGGATAGTAGAGAGCTAAAAGTCAAGAGGGGGAATAGAAAATAAAAATGAACAAATAAGTATTGAATATAATCAGAAAGATTATGCTTAGCGTTGTATGCAACAGCGACAGCAAAATAATATTAAATTCTGAACAATGTTATATTGGATCTGATGTCATAGATCAGTTTTGCTCCGGATAAATATTGTATGAGTTTCTTCTCTTTACTGTCGAAACAACCATCGGTGGGGGGGGGAGGGTCATAAACTGACTTCATTCAGAGAACTACTGAGCACTAAAGAGTACTGGACAGCTAGTTGTAGCGCTACATATCTCAAATTGATAGAAATTAGAGTCCGTTAGCTACTGGATTCCGTCCCAATGGCTGAATCATACCTTCTGCCCGGTAAGTCCTATTCATTGCCTTCATGCCGTGGCAGTGTTCCTTACAAAAATGATAGGGTGAGTGAGAAAGTCTAGCGCTTACAAACGGACTGGTAGACAATCAAGCCTGCCTAAAGGAGATGAAAAAACATGATTCCAAACCTATGACGAAAATTGGCTCCAGAATCTGAAAGGATAGAATGGAGTACGAGGCCGTTTTGGTCACTGGAAACCATGGGAACGCAGCTCCTGAGACTGCTCCACTGTCTTGTGGATCTGGCTTCGAGTCAAAGGCTTCAGACAGGGTGTAGTCCCTTAAGACAACCACCTGCCTCGATCTAGGCATTACAGTGTCTTCTTCGATGAGTTACTGCCTCACCTACAACCTGCTATACCCTACTGGTCACGACTTCCCACTAGAACCCCAGGCAAACTACCTGAATAGGGCTAGTCGCTAGTGAGGATCTGGTTAATTTTCAAGTATTGGTTTTGGTATGAATTTTGTTTGATTAGTTGGAGGATTTCATCATCAGCTGACATCAGTTATGAGTTATTATTAGTCAAGCCTAGTTATCCTGCATTAACCGTGATGAATACTTCTTAAAAAGAATGTCGGTGCGTCGGTGGCACGGTGATTAGGACTCCTGCCGACCATGCACATGGTCCGGGGTTCGATTTCTTGCCGACGCACACCTGATATCAATGGTCGGCTCGCAAAATATGGGCTACCGATATCACATGCTGAAAATTCCATACCTGTACCTAAAAATACAGTGTGGAATCAAGCTTTAATCAAAAAATAAATAAATGTCAATTATTGTTATTTTTCTGAAGTAAAATGTAGATAACTGGAGATAAGATTGCCACGTAGAAAGAATAAGCAACAAAGAAGCTCTGTCAGGCAGCGGAACTAAACCGACAGCCTATCACCCAAACCAAAATGCAGACAAAAATGGATAGGGGTTAGGCATGTGCAATGAGCAGAGATCATTGAGTGGTATCACAAGCCTGAAAGGCACTCCAGCGGGATTCTAACAGGAAACGACGAGTTAAGTATAAGTACAAGAGTGATATGGAGCCGGCTAAAAAGGATTGCAGAGTACAGAAAACAATGAAGAAACAGATATCTAAAACCATTCCAAGCTGGAATTAAATGAAAACACAGTCATAGACGTTGAATACCTATCGACCAAATCTGAGCTTTTAATACCTGAATGCCTTGTTAGAAAGGAAATAAACTGACTTTGTTAATAACCAGTTAACTCCAGAAGGTACACACAATTTTCATTTTAATCAACAACAAAAATGTTTTTAAAAAAGTAATACAAATTTTCTAATGGAAATGGATGCATTTCATAGGAATCCTTTCTGTGCTTTTTTTTATTCAAAATAATAATTTACTGGCGAAAGAGAGACAGAGAGAGGAGATATACGCATAGATTTATTAAATTCTATCCTCTTTTTCGACCTGAATTATTACTAGATGTGGGGATCAGGGGTTTCAGAAGAACATTAGATTGCGTTTTTGAATTCTTCCCCCCCCATCTTTTATTCAGGAGAGAGAGAATCAGATGGAAAGTTGTGGTGACAAAATACTTACCAAAAACCAACAAAACGATTGGTATGTAAATCGGAACAAATGTTACAATGGAGAGTGAAATTTATCTGAGTCGTTAAAAATAAGGTTATGCTTGAATTAAAATAAGTGTTGGTTTACCGGCATGCAATTGGTTACAGGTTTGATCACAAGCTGACATCAGTTAGAGAACCATTGGAAAACCTGCAGGGAATACTGGACGGTGTCGTCTCTACCTAGTTTAGGATTCTTTAGTAGCACCCACCCACCGGGGTTCCAAACCAGGACCGCCTAGTTACAAGGTGGACTCATAGACCAATCAGGCACTGAGATATGAACCAATAGCCAGTGAATTCTTACATCTGCCGGTTCTGCGCGACTGTCAGCCAATATTATCGACGAGTATTTGTCCTGAAATGTAACTCAGTGGACCCCGCTGGTCACAGCTCCTCAAAAGGATTTGTGGAAACTTCATCCTGTACTGAGTCAATAATGCAGTTATTTTTCATTCAAACACTGTTATTCATGTCTTTGGCTACATCCAGGTTGAATAAAGCTAACCAAAGTGATATTCAACAATAATTCTATCCCACACTTTTATAGACTTCTATATTATCGTCTACCAGTAATAATAATATATGTGTAGACTTTCATTTTTGTTTGTTATTCAGTAAAATGTGGCAGTTGTCACCAGGCGTATCTTCAGTCTTGTAGGAACTCATGTCCCTTCTGAGATTCGAACCCGGATCTCCCAGTGTTGCACAGTCAGAGACGTTATTATTCTCAGTTATGCGGTCTCACGGTCGACCTAGTGTAGGTCTGTATTAGATACTTTGATGGGTAACTAGATGTGTAACCAGTTATTTGTTTTTAATTCAATTTTCACTTTCCGTTGGTTGACTCGATCAAAATGTTTGGCCTCTGTTGACACGTTGACTTTTAGTACGGACGTTTTAACGATGTCTGAGGATTGACGTGAAGTAATTTAGTGGAGGTGGTGACTACCAGTGGAATCCTGCGTGTGCATTTCGTTTTGTATTCGGTACTTATCAGACGGATGTACGTTCATTCCTCAAGTGAATGATAGTGTTCACACACTGAAATTGAACTCATAACCCTGCGTTGGAAATTCCAAAGCGCTATCCACTAGGCGGCTTCGACGTTTGAAACGATGGGTACTGGGTTCAAGTCCAAGTGAGGATACTATCACTGACTAGGGATGGCAGATAAATCCAGATGATGAGTTCCGAATATAAAGCGAAATGCGCATCCCAAATTCCACTGGTAGTCACTGTCCACAAAATTTCTTCAAAGTGTAACCGATGTCACGTGTTCAGTCTCTGGTCGGTTGCAGACTGAGTGAGTTTCATGAAACACATGGAGACAAACGTGCAAATGTTACTACAGTTAAGACTGTTAGAATATACTTCATAATATTTGATCTACTATACACCAATAATTATTCAGTATAAAAACTACTATTTAAGTTAGTTGTAAAAAGCTACAATTTGAAATCTACACTATTTTCAATCATAACTAATATTTTTCCTGATGATTATTGTCAAAAAATACTAACTCAGAAAAGTGTCAAAGAAAAAAAAAACATCTGCTGACTGTGCAAATGTTAAAATACCGCCAAATCAATAAAACGCCAACATGTCATAAATAACTTAGTTTGACTCATGAGTAAATTTAATTATAAGATATAGAATAGATGATATGAATATTCTAATTTAAAATACATCGATGTATATAATCAGCTTTCTGAATAATTGAATTCTTACTTCAGTATGTAATGTTGTACTCTACCAATGAAGCCTGTATATATCATAAAGCAGTATTCCGTTTAACACCTTGGTTGTGTACTGTTGTGTGATGAATTGAGTTCAGTTAGTAATAGAATGCCGTGACATTTGCTAGTTAGCAGACCTGGTCGTTAGCTGCTACTTTGATGGGGCAATGGGGCTTGCTATACTGCTTGGAGCGAATACTTCTACAGGTTCTACCACGCTAGAAAGTATGGCTGGATAGTGGTTGAACTAAAAGCGTTTACTTACTATTTGATGGGGGTCTGAAGGCAAGGTAGTACTACTAACAGCTGGGGGTGTTACAACAGTAAAGTGTTTTTTATTCAGACGACTAGTGAGATATACTGCTTTCCTCCTTCTACTCCACGGAGGGGTGGTAGGGATAGAAAAGGTAAACCTCAAATATTTTTCATCTAGACTTGTCCTGTGACAGCCTGTAGGCTACGCTACGGTATTATCCTCGTACTGACAACCTACTCATAATAATAAGCGTAGAGTTCACATACTCATCAGAATGACTTAAAATCTTTAGATAGGAAAATCATTTCTCACTCAAAAAATTCCTAACGCAAAACGCCTGCCGATTACAGCGACACCAAAGGATTCATGAAAAAATATATTAATGATACGTCAACTTAGTGCTTCTCGTTATTTAAACCTTTCATTAATGTCTTCGTCTTTCCCATTGAGATGTAAATAACGACAAAACTCCCCTTACCTGTAATCTAAGTGTCAAGCACGAGAAAGTTACTAGTCGGTTTATATTACCGTAGACTATTGTACCTTTCTTTTCAATCCGGTGACGCCAATAAACTTATAAGTTTCAGATACATTAACCAATTTTTCTAAATGGGTCAGAAACTTGGCCTGAGCTTCACGAGAAGCATTTCCAAATGATAGCCAAAGAAATCAGTATAGACGACCAAAAAGGATTAGCAGTATGGAACTCTAGGAACGAACCAATCAGCAACTTATTTCTCAACAAATATGTCGAAGAAAATTTGAGATTGATGGCAATCACACTGACGAGACCGTCTGATCACATCGCCAGCCAGGCCATTATTTGTGGGAAACCCCAGTGAGAAAATACGAGTTGGACATGGAGGAGGTCAGATGAGAAGGAGATGAGGGTTCATGGGTAACCGTAGAGCCAGCTAAAGAGAACAGCAGAGATCAAGGTGAAGCGGAAATGTACTGTTGTTGAAGCCTTATGTTCCACTTAGGACCCAAGGGAATGATATAATAAATCAACAGTGAAACTAGTACA